AAAGCAGGAAGAGAAAAGCAAACACTTATGTACAAAGGAAAGTCCATAAGATTATCAGCTAATTTTTCAGTAGAAATTTTGCAGGCCAGATGAGACTGACAGGATATATTCAGAGCGCTGACAGGAAAAAAACTACAACTAAGAATACTGTAGCCAGCAAGTTTATCCTTCAGAACTGAAGGAGAATTAGAGTTTCTGAGACAAACAAAATTTAGAAGAGCTTATTACCACAAATGAGATTTACAAGAAATGTTAAAGGGAATTCTTTAAGTGGAAAAGGAAAGGCCATAACTAGGAGTAGGAAAATTATGAAAGGAAAAAAATGTCATTTGTAAAACAAACATATCATTTACCTAAAAAGCTGGTGCAAAGGTTAAAAGACAAAGTTGATAAATCAGTTATATCTATGAAAATTATTTGGGATCCACGAAATAAAAGAACGTAAAATATACATACTTGGAGGGGCAAGCAAATATTTAGTGCTTTTAGAATGTATTCAAATTTAAATGATAATCAACTTAATATAAACTGTTATATGCATAGGATGTTATATATGAATCCTATGGTAAATACAAATCAAAAAGCTATAATACCCAAGAAATAGAAAAAGGAATCCAAGCATAACACTAAAGAAAGTCCTCAAACTATAAGGGAAGAGAGCAAGAGAAGGAAGAAACAGAGAAAGAAGTACAAAGACAACCAGAAAAAAACAAAATTGAAATAAGTACATATATATCAATAATATCTTTAAGTATATATGAACTATGATCTCCAATGAAAAGATACATGATGAGTGAATGGAGAAAAAAACAAGACCATATATATGCTGCCAAGAGACTTACCTCAGACCTAAAGACACAGACTAAAAGTAAAGGGGTAGAAAAAGACATTTCAGATGCAAATGTAATTGAAAAAAAAAAAAAAAAGCCAGGGTAGCAATACTTAGACAAAGCAGACTTTAAAACAAAGGCTGTAACAAAAGAAAAAGAAGGACATTACATAAAAAGGGATCAATTCAACAAAAAGGTGTAATAATTTTATATATCTAATGTACCTAACATAGGAGCATCTAAATATATAAGGCAAATATTAACAGACATAAAAGGAGAAATTGACGGTAATACAATAATAGTAGGGAACTTAATACCCCACTTACATCAGTGGTTAGATTGTCCAGAAAGAAAACCACTAAGGAAACAGTGACTTTGAATGACACTTTAGACCAGATGGTTGTAACAGATATATAAAAAACTTTCCGTCCAAACTCAGTAGGGTACACATTCTTTTCAAGGTCACATGAAACAGTCTGAAGAATAAATCACATGTTAGGACACAAAATAAATCTCAGTAAGTTTAAGAATGTTGATTTTATATTATATTAAGAATGTTTGATTTTACATCAACATTCTTAACCAGTGGGAACTAATCCTCTTTGATTTCTTCATTGACCCACTGGTTTTTAGTAGCATGTTGTTTAGTCCCCATGTTTTTCTGTATTTTCCAGGTTATTTTCTGGTAATTGATTTCTAGTTTCATTCACTATGGTTGAAAAAGATGCTTGAGAGACTATGGACTCTGAGAAACAAACTTAGGGTTCTAGAGGGGAGGGGGTGAGGAATGTTGGCCTGCTGATGGGTATTAAAGAGGGCAAGTATTGAATGGAGCACTGGGTGTTATACACAATGAATCATGGAACACTGCATTAAAAACTAATGATGTAATGTATGGTGATTAACATAACATAATAAAATTTTTAAAAATAATATTAAAAAAAGAAATCAAAGAGGAAAAAACAAAAACAAAATACCTTGAGAAAAATGAAATGGATGCATCCTGGTTTAAAATCCTTCAACTCAGTGAAAGTAGTTGTAAGAGGGAAGTTTTCATGATACAAGCCTACTTCAAGAAACAAGAGGAATCTCAATCTAACTTTACACCTCAAAAAACTAGGGAAAGAAAAACAAACAAAGCTGAAAGGTATTAGAAGGAAATAATAAAGTTTAGATATAAAGAGAGACTGGCAAAAAAAAAATAAGAAAGTAAGAGCTGGTACTTTGAAAAGATAACCAAAATAGATAACCTTCAGCTATAGTCATCAAGAAAAAAGAGAGAGGACTCCAAAAAATAAAATCAGGAATGAAGGAGAAGTAACAACTGATACCACAGAAATACAAAGGATTATGAAAGACTACTATGCAAAATTTTAAGCCAACAAATTGGACAACCTAGAAGAAATGGACAAATTCCTAGAAATAATTTTCTAAAACTGAATCAGGAATAAGTAAAAAGTTTGAACAGACTGATTGCTAGTCACAAAATTGAATCAGTAATCAAAAAATTCCCAATAAACAAAATTCAGGGTCAGATGACTTCATAGGTGATTCTACCAAACATTTAAAGAAGAGTCAATACCTATCCTTATTAAACTATTCCAAAAATAGAAAAGAATTCTTACAAATTCATATTATGAAACCAGTATTATCATGATACCAAAATCAGACAAGGACACTACAAACAAAGAAAATTACAAACCAGTATCTCTGATGAACATAGACACAAAAACTCTCAACAAAATATTAGCAAACTGAAATCATAATACATTAAAAGGATCATTCACCATAATTAAGGGGGATCTATTTCAGATATGAAAGTATGGTTCAATAGCTACAAATCAATATGATACAGCACATTAACAAACAATGGACAAAATGTATATGATCATCTCAATAGATGTAGAAGAAGCATTTGACATAATTCAACAAACATAAACATACAAAACTACATACACAAACAAAAACTCTCAACAAATTTGGTTTAATGGGAACATCTTTCAACATAAGAAAGTCAAACCCAGAGCTAACATCATACTCAATTGTGAAAAACTGAAAATTTTTCCTATGAATAGTCAGATTTATAGATACAGAAATTAGAATGATGGTTGTCAGAAGTTAGAGGGAGAGGGAATGGAAATTACTCTTTTGAGAGTATAGAGTTTCAGTTTTGTACAATGAAAAATTTGGAGAATGATAGTGGTAATGATTGGACAATATCAGTGTAATTAGTACCTCTGAACTATATATTTAATGATGATTAAGATAGCAAGTTATAATATGAATATATTAGTACAATAAAAACAATAGGAAAAAAAGACTTTTTTTCTGCCAACAGAAAATTGATGCTTTAATTAAAATTCACTGTGTGCACATAACAAAAATGGTTTACAAAAGATGGAAAAAATAAAAGCAAGGCACTGATGGTTATTTGGAATCCAGGGTGTTTTGGACTGGCAGTGGAATTTCACCTGGTAACAGCCAAGTATACATATAAATCATCCTGAATACAGTAGCTGTGGACGTGAAGGATGTTGGCAAGGTTAGACTGATGTTGCCAATCTTCATATCGATATAACACCTTCTAGTTTTCTCATAGGAAATCATCCCTGGGATGTTTGGAAATCCATTGAAGACTTAGCCCAAGTCAAAGCCTACAAGAGTAATATTTTTTAAAGATTTTATTTATTTATTTGTGTGAGAGAGAGAGAGTACGAGCAGGGGGAGGGGCAGAGGAAGAAGCAGACTCCCCGCTGAGCAGGGATCTAGATGTGGGACTTGATCCCAGGACTCCCAGATCATGACCTCAGCTGAAGACAGACACTTCACCACCCAGGCATCCCACAAGAATAATATTTTTAAAACTCTCTGGCCCAAGAATAATTCCTTGGGCATCCTTCCCCGCAGAAAAGGCTGTTTCAGGGGTTTAGCTCCAAATCTTTGCCTTCTCATTCTGACAACATGCTCAGTGGACTCTTAACAACTACCAGGCATTGATTCTCTAGCTTAACCCAGCCTTAATATGTTCTCCCTTTTCTCCATTCTTCAGAGTTTTCTTTTTCTCTTTTGGAATCCCAGAGTTTAACAATGCTTGCTCTTATTTTTGTTTTTGTTTTTGTTTTGTTTTTTTGTGATTGTAAGAAAATTTACTACACAGAAAAAGGTGTGAATGAATATTTTTGGAACTATACTGGAAACACATTGGATGAGTGAGTCCTTAGGGCAAAAACTTTATTCCTTTTTATCTGTCCCTTAATGTCATCCAAAGAAGTAAGTGATGTGGGAAGGGGGAAAGTATTACAGACAGAAGACTTACTGAGTGGCAAAGAAGACAATGTACAAAGAAAACCAAGAAATATTTACCAAGACTGAATCTGGGAAACTTCTAGGAAGCTCTAAAATCCCCATGCCCATGCTTCACCCAGACTAATTAAGCCATAATCTCTGAAGATAGAACCCAGTACCTGTATTTTCTAAAGCTTCCACTGATTCTCATGGGTGACCAAAGGGTATGGAATGGTCACCTGGGTCTTTTTAGGTATTGATTAGGACAAAGTTAGTTGTGAAAAAACTTTCTGTATTTTGACATATTATCATTTGTGTAGTGAAAATATCAGTGCAAAAACCTCTGCCCAAGTTAACTCCTTAAAGAAGCCCTAAGTGCTTATGTTGGAGGGTCTAACTGAAAAACAATCAGTAGGCCTGATTAGAAGGCATTTTGCTATGGCAGAAAAAACATGTTGTCCTTAGACCAGAGTTCAAATGCTGGCTCTGCCACTGACTATGTACCTTTGGATGAGTAACTTAACTTCTCAATGTCTGTGTTTACTTACATGCAAAATAAGGATTCTAGCCCTCACAGCAAAGTATGTGGGTGAGTATTAAAAGATGACAACTAAGCCTCTGCCCCTGACCATGTAGACTTCTCCCTTGCCTGGGAAGGTTGTCCATCTCAACCTTGGGTCCACCTTGGAAGAAAGGCCTAGCTTGCTATAGGGTGGGCAGGGATGCCTTCCCAGAATGCCCCATGAGCCCACTGAAGCCATTAGCAGGGTGGGAGATGTCACAGGACATTACTAACCCTCATGTCTTCCCTCCAGAGGCTGAAAACATCTTTTCTTCACCATGTGGTGAATGTCACTTTTCTGGATCTTGCCTTCCTTTCCATAGAATACAACTGATGCAGTATGTCATCTATGGGATTGCGTCCTTTTTTTTCTTGTATGGGATCATTCTGTTGGCAGAAGGCTTCTATATCACAAATGCAGTGAAGGAGCTGCATGGCGAGTTTAAAACAAGTGCCTGTGGCCGATGCATCAGTGGAATGGTTAGTACAAATCTCTGTCTGACATACACCAGAGCCTCACCTCTGGGTATTTTTTGTATTTGGTGAAAGGTATGAGAAAATCAAAGGTGAATGAAGAGTCCATGAAACAAATATTGTTCTTACCTCTTTATAGTTGGGGATTAATATAATAAAGACCTTCAACATAGTATTGATAATAAATTAAAATCTATTGCTAATAGTATTAAACATTTCTCCTATCAATGTATGGGAAATAAGAATACTAAAAGTTCTTCATATCATCTCAATGCTATCCTATGTCTTTGAATATTCGTATTGAGCCTAAAGCTATACATGTACTATAATTACTTGTCATAACTGTTCTGGAAGTATATAACAAATAGCACTGTATCAAGCACAAAGCTGGGAATTTTGCTCATTGTTAGTGGTGCAAAGATTAAAATACAGTCTTCTCAAAAAGCTTACAGGCTAAGATCGGGCTTGCAAATTGCAACCTGCAGGCCAAATCCAAGCCACTACCTGTTTTTGTATAGATAAGAATGGTTCTTGCATTTTTAAATGTTTGGGGGGAAATGTGATGATTCTTTTAAGACGTGAAAATTATACAAAGTAAAATTTTAGTTTTGTTGTCATATAGCACAGTATCAGGAGCTTGTATAGTTTCCACATGTGGACCTATGTTTCGACTGGTTCTCCTGGAGAAAGCATAGGTGTCCCGGGGGGACTTCTGGAAGAGTTCCTCTTAACCAGCACAATCACTTTTAGTTCCTCTTAACCAGCACAGTCACTTTTGTCTGTTGAATCTTTTAGACTGTAATTATTTATATAAAATATCTGTTCTAAAAAGTTGAAAAAACTGTTGTTCAGGGCACGCTTCATTCATTTTCTTATTGGTCACTTGATCCTTAACAGTGTGATTTTGTTAATACATTCAAGGGGATCATTCAACAGACCTGTTCTGGAGCATATTAGGAAGATAGAAGTGACAGGGAGGGTTTTTGACAGCTAGAGGAACATGCTAAGGACAGGAAGTTGTATGAGGTGCAAAAGATAAATGAGCTTTGTCCACCGTGGACAGCAAAATAATTTTGTCACCAGAATCCCTGGTACTTTATGGTCTGTTATGGGAGGCTTCTACCTGGGAACATACTAAGAAGCAACTCTGAATACTTAAGGCCGCCATGATAGGAATGGTCTGCAAGGGGACGCTCTCCACGGGGCCCTGGCCTACACTTTGGAACCCTGGCCATCACTGAAAGGCAAAGCTGACAGAGCAAGGAACTACCCAGTCCTTTTTCAAGTTTTTGTGGTGTTAACTGAAAAGAAAGTAAAGTTTTCTTTTAAAGAGTAAGAAAAAGAAGTCCTCGTTTGGAGTAGTGTATCCAAAAGCACTGAGGACAAAGGGTGTGTGAAACTGATGAAATCTACTTCTTTGAATATTTTCACAAATAGTAATGTTTTTGAAAGTGTAAATGTCCTGAAATAAAATAAAAAATGACCTGTTTCTAGAGTTTCCTGGGGAGACCAACAGGAAGTGGCCTGTCTGAGCCTGACACCAAATGGACCTCCCATGGTTCAAATATTGGGTCTTCAGGATCAGTTTAAGAAATAAAGCAAAACCAGGAAAAATCCAAACACTTGCCACACACTCTGAGGGCATATATTCTGGGAATATAAATACCATAACAGTTTATAGTCTTTCAAGGTTCTCTTAAAATTAGTAGTCAGGCAGAAGGTTATGAATAAAATGAAGCGATATCATTATATTTTTCCTGAAATTGCCCATAGCAATGTATAGAAGAACACAATGATTTTTTCCTAAGCCAGAACTTAGACTTGTAGAACTGCTATGAATGCTAAGGTTGAAAGAAAACTAAAGAGAAATGAGATTTTTGTTACCTCAGTGTTCATTAAGATTGTGTTCTAGGTAATTTTAAACTTCTAATAAAGCCTCGAGCATCCAATGCTTTTACTAATTTCACAGGGCAATGAAACTAGCCAAGTTCCTTTTGAGAAAGAGCTTCCTGAAGTACTTGTTATTGTACTATCCATATGTTGTGTAAAATAAAGGCAATTTTTGAGAAACAGATATGAAGTTATAATTCAATCCTGTGACATAATTACCATGGTATATATGGCTGCCTACCTTTCTAATTCATTCTGCAAACTTGAAAAACGGAGATCACCAAGTGGGGTCTCCTGGCCTTGTTCCTTGAGAAAGTAACCTGCACAAAGTCCCTGAGGTGGCTTTGGGCAGTCACATTCTCCATCGTGCAGCTCTGGAGAGCATGACTACAATACCCCAGCCCTCGCTCTCCTCTCCCTTGTCACTTTGCCTGTCTCTCTGGTGGCCCAGGCGGTGATGGGAATGCATCCCACAGATTCGGTATCCAGCCAGAGCTGTGTAATCATTTCCTCCCCAGGTGATGGACACTGCCCCCCTCCGTGATGATTCTTTCTCCTTCTCCTTTTCAACTCAGTTCGTATTCCTCACCTACATGCTGGGAGTGGCCTGCCTGGGCATGTTTGGTTTCTCCACCGTTCCCGTGTTTATGTTCTACAACATTTGGTCAACTTGTGAGGTCATCAAATCCCAGATCAATGGCACGACAGCTGTGGAGCAGATCTGCGTGGATATCCAACAATACGGTACCTCCTTGCATTACCCCCAATGAACTTTTATCCTCTTGTGCATATGTCTACATCTTAGTTATTACGTGGGTATCTTTTTAAACATTGTGATCAGTTTCATACATTCTTCTTTAAAAAAAAAAAGAGAGAGGGAGAGAGACAGAGTAAGTGGGAGGAGGGGCAGAGGAAGATGGAAAGAGAATCTCAGGTAGAGTCCATGCCCAGTGGGAGACCTACCTGGGGCTCCGTGTCACAGTCCTGACATCATGACCCGAGCCAAAACCAATACCTAGACACAACGAACTGAGAGCCAGGTGCCCTGGTTTCATACATTCCTCTATTGGAATTGTTTATAATCTTTCTGTCAATATGCCCCGTTTGAGGGATATTTGTACAAACAATTATTCTTGAAATCATTGTTTCACTGACAGTTTGGGTTGTCATTTCTCTTCTGAAACATAAAGAGTTACTTCTGGCTGATGGCAAAGAATGGAAGGATATTCAGATTTTATTTTTTTAATCTGTCTTCCTTATATGCTGAGAAAAGTGTAATTTGAGCTATTTTTAACTTTTAAGTACACATATATGCAGAAAACATATGCACTTACCTCTAAATTAAGTGGAAAAGAGAAGCAACAGCCTATGGGCAATTGTTAAATACAGAGAGAACTCTGTATTTAACTAACATTCTGTTGGGATTCACTTCACAGGTATCATTCCTTGGAATGCTTTTCCAGGAAAAATATGTGGCTCTGCTCTTGAGAACATCTGCAACACCAATGAGGTAAACCCTTCTCCTGTCAGGGCCTGGACACAGTCACTTGTCAACGCAGGCTGAGGAAAGAGCTCTCTGAGGTAGAAAGAGCAGGAGATGGTGCACATGCTGGTAAGGGAAGTCTCTCTATGTAGACTAAATTGTATGTAATCACTAATAGTCACTTTTGACCTAGCAAATGGCCATTTTACGTGGTCCAGCTATTCAGTAAAGATTCTTAGCAATCAGAAAGATTCCTCTTTTGGCAATAACGTGTACTGATACAAATTCTACACATCTCAAAACACATGTAGCTTCTTCCCTTTCACTGCAAGCCACATATTTTTTGAAAGTAGGGCATTTGTCACAGAATAAATATAATTTTCTTGAAAAGATTCCCCTGAATTTGTGCATAAACTAATTTTTTAAGTCAATTATAGTTAATTATTTATATTTCCATAGTGTTTTACTGGTACATCTGTTTGTGTTTAATTAGATTTAAAACCTTTGTTTAAAATATCACAGCTCTAGAATATATTTAGACATCGGCTTATAAGTGTTTATGAAGGAAAAGTCGTAAATGTACTAATGAGAGTTTGCATATTTAAGAGAATCCTAGCATGCTTTTGGAAAGCAATGAATCACTGAAATAATCAGCCATTGTCTCCATCATTAGGCAGTTTGTATATCCAAATTAAGGCGTGTCAAAGCAGGGGCTCTCAAAGGTGGCTGCACACTGTAGTCATAGAAGAGAATTCTACTCATGAATAAGGTCCAGCCCCCAGACTGTCAGATTTAATTGGTGTAGGGTATAACCCAGGCATCAGAAAGTTTTAGAAAACTCCTAGGTGATGCTTTTCTGCAGCGAGCCAGCCTTGAGACAGAAACTTGAAAGGAGTATACACTGGCATGCAGCCTGGCAGAAAGGAGCTCTTGAGGAGAAAGAACAGGTGGAGTCCCGTTCTTTCCACAGGCAATGCTCACCTGGTGCCCTCTTCTTTCCTAGCTCTACATGTCCTATCACCTGTTCATTGTGGCCTGCACTGGAGCTGGTGCCACCGTCATTGCCCTGGTGAGTAACAACAGCCCCCGGCCTGGCCTACCGCAGGTCCCCTCCCTTGAGGCTCTAATGCCAGGTTTGCCTTCCAGCAGTACACTCTGGGACGCAGCCCTCGTTCCATCTCACCTGTGTAAACTTAACCCCAGAGCTGGAGTGCAGGCAGTCTTGGTTGCCTCTCCTGATAACTGAGTATATATAGTGGAATTTGGATTCTTTTGGAAGAAGAGAGAATATCAATACTTGGAATAGGTGTTGACTAGGAATAGCAGTTAACCTAGTTTCTGTTGTGATTATAAACAGGAAAGAAGCCACACTGTGGGGTCCTGAGCAGGCACCCGCCCTGACTGCCTGTATCTTACTGTCGTGTTCTGTTCTCTTCCACCAGCTGATCTACATGTTGGCTACTACCTATAACTATGCCGTCTTGAAGTTTAAGAGTCGGGAAGATTGCTGCACTAAATTCTAAATTGCTTAAGGCCAACAAGGAGCTGTAGGGGGGCTCTCCTCAGTAGCCTGAAATCTCCCTGACGCTCCAGACTAAAGCCGAGTCTAGGGTGCTGCAGTTTGGTAACAGTAATCTGTAAATAGCTTTTGTCCACTCATTTTGCGTTGTAGATTAATTAGATGCCTTACCCTGAGTGAATTACAAAATGATGAGATCTGGCTTTTTACACGTTGTGAAAAGGATTCAGTTATGTACTGACCTTGGCCAGCATCTGTTAAAGAGTAATTTTCTTAAAGTTCGAGCAGTAGTCTAAATGAAGTGTTAAAACTTTGTAATACCTGCCTTGTCCGTTATTGTTGCTTGCTTGATAACCAATACCAGTGCTGGAGAGGAGATGGCAGCGAGATGCGTTTTCATCTGGACTTTTTTTTTGTTTTCTTAGACTCTGGAAAAAAGGCAAACATATTTAAAATTTGACTAAAACTTTTTTTAAACTTTTTTTTCTGATTACATGGCTCACTACCAAATACATGCCCCTCCAATTAGCCTGCCAGCTAGAGGACAATGTGAAGAATAAAGGGCACCCTGTTACCTTCTGTGAGACCAGGATCTGTACGTGGGGTGTGCTCTCTGCACCACCTAGTCACCCCTTACCTGGCGTTGTTGTGTTTCCGGTGCGGAGCCCCTGATTCCTCATAGCCAGGTCTCACACCGCACATCAGATTCTGAGGGGAAGAGAAATTGTGCCTGGATCTGAAAGTCTCAAATATGTTGAAAAGGAAATAGGAGGAACCAGAGATGTAGATTTTTGCAGGAAAGATGAGGAAAATGAGAGGGCAAGAAGTGTTGGCTGCCCCCACTGTAAAGAAGAAGCATTTGTACATTTGGGACCTGCACGCATGGCAGTCTTAGAACGAAAACTGGAGGTGCGCCCCTAAGCACGTGCTCACACAGACTGCAGGCTGTGCTTAGAGGTCTTAATTTTCCCATGTTAACTAACTGTATAGTTGATGAGTTACTCAAAATAAGCATCATTCACTTGTAGGCCTTTGGGGAACTGATTTTTATCCACAGAGAGGAAAGATCTTTGCCCCGCACTGATTTTAAAATAAGCATACCAGGTGTTTCCGAACGTCTGTGTTAGTTAAAATTACTCCCAAAGTGGCAAAAACAAACAAACGAAAACCACCCTCTCCTATTTCATTTTTGCTTTTTCTTAACCATAACTTTGGCCATTTTTTTCAGTTCATCGTGTTTGTATACTAACTTTTCTTCAGCCTCTTACTCTTAAACATACTAGTAGAGCATGCTTCCAGAATCTGATGGCTCTGACAGCAGAATGAGAATTAACACAGAATAACCCTCCCCCTTTTGACAGTAAAGACCGTCTAATCTGCCTAGCAGCTTGCTTTGCCTTCTGACATGCTCACTAGCCATCATGCTCACCCTTCTTTTCCAGATCCACTTCCTCATGATACTGTCTTCTAACTGGGCTTACTTAAAGAATGCGAACAAAATGCAGGCTTACCAGGATATCAAAGCAAAGGAGGAACAGGAACTGCAAGATATTCAGTCTCAGTCAAAAGAATAACTCAATTCGTACACATAAATGTTTGCCAGACTGTTACAGCCTACGAACCGACCGCTCTGCCCACTCCTGAGACCACTGCCCTGCAGTATGGATGTGTACCCCACCAAACAACCTAAACACGTCCCCGTCCAGCTCGAGCTGCTGGGGTGTATTTCCAGGAGCACTTTCCAGCATGTCAAGCTTTTTCTTTAGAGCAGATACTGGAGGTTTCATGTTAGCCTTTTGAAATACAGGGCATATTCATAATCCTACCGAGGACAAGCAATACGAATATATCGTAGTTCTTCTTAGGTACCCTATCACTATCAGGGTTGTGACTATAAGCTTATGTTTGCTATCTGTGCTCTAATAAATGTATTTATATCGAGAATAAACTGGAATTCTGACAGCTGGCATGAATTAAGCCTTGACTCCTAATGTGGCTTATGTTAAGTTAAAAAAAAATTTAGCTTTCTCTCCCCGCAATCCAGAACACAGAAATTTCTTGAGCCAACTAGAAATCTAATCTTCCTGTTGAAACCTACACTACTAAACAAGCTGGATTTTTACACATTAACAAGCCTTCAGGAATCAATTTTATATAGATTTCATTTTAATAAAGTGGAAATAACCCAGTGTCATTGGTCCTTTTGGAAAAAAAAAAAAACACATCATTTTTGCCTTAATAAATATTTGCTTTAAATTCCTATGCATTTAAATTGCAACAGTAAACCCTAAGCCTTTACAAGTTTGTATTGTAAATGTTTTCCTTCATTAAGAAATATTACCTTAAAATAATCACTATTCTAAACCATTCTTAGGTGGTCTACACAGTGAGTTTACAGTTTCATATCAACCAACTAAAATCTAATTCCCAATAGACTAGAGACCTTCTGCTCATCATGCTTTAGTAATTCAATTTAATTTTCTTTACCTAAACCTTCATTTTCTAGAATAATAGTGTTTCAAAACTCTTTGAGGTTAGGCCATTTTCAAAAAAAAAAAAAATGTAGTTTCTAATTCATTGTGTTTCAGAACAGTAAGTGACTAATTCATTGTGTTTCAGAACAGTAAGTGACTGGACCTGTATTGGGTATTAGTAATGGTAAACTTTCTGTTGTTCTTTATGAAATGATATATAAAACTGTTGGATGCATCAGTGCTTTGTAAAAGGGACTGCATAATATAGGGTTAACTACCAATGACTTGTGGTTTGGCTGTTCCCTGGATTTTAAAACATACATGTATAGAAATGTCTTAATTTTTAAAAAGCATATTTTTATCAACATCCTATTAAGATTGAAAAATCCTCAAGTATGATACCGTTTCGTTTGATTGGTTGGTTAATGCCTAAAAATGTGTACTGGACCTTTTTGTTTTTTTAATTGGGAGAAGCTCTCTTCTATGTAGAACAGTTGTTCCAGAATAGCTTTTTTTTGTTTTGTTTTCCTGTTGTATGACAGACTTAAATATTTTTTTCCAGTAGTGGAGGTCCAGTGTTCTAGAAGAGGCAGTGTCTCAAAACTAATTTTACTTTTCTAATTCTGGTAACTATTACTAAGAATATTTTAAAGTTTTGTTTAAGTAGTCTAATATTTTTATGTAAATCCCTAAATTTTGCTATGTATAAATTTGTATAACCCAACAGTGAATCAGTATTTTCTATCAGTGCTAAGGGCTTCCTATAGTTCTATTCAAGTGTTGCAATAAATACTTGTAAGTAATAGTCAATACTTATTTGTGTACATACATGTGTATGCTTATTTCAAACATCTACTTAGGTGAAATAGGTTGCAAATGTATTAAGAATAATGGAATAAAATTATAGCTTCATTCACTTGGCTTTTACCATACATAAATACTATCTTTCTTTGTCTTAGAATGGTGTCACTTTTAAATAATATGCACAATCAAGATTTCACAAAATATTATAATTCACCAGAATGTATTTTGCATAAATACTAGTAGTACTTTATAGATTTATGTAAAAGTTAAAAAAAATTCTAGCTAGTTTTTCCCCACAAATAAAAGCCATATGCCCATGGAAATGAAATGAAACTTAAACTCTGCCACTGATTGAGGAAACTACAAATAGTGAGAAGTCTTTTAATGGTCCATGTAAATACAAAGTGAGGAGAAAAGTGAGTTTAGAGTGCTAAGACGTTATGAGGTGGTGTTGAAAGAGAAGATGCCAAGTTCTTGGTGGCAATAGGACTCAATGTTTGATATGCTAGGTGTGATAAAGATGATGCCTGGACACCTTATTTCTTCAATTACTTTCAAAGGGATACTGCAGTGAAAAGCTCCTTAGAAACCTAAGCAATAACAAATACAAAAAAAATCACCTTCCCACTTTGTTAGAATTCAGTGACTTAGTATCACTGGCAAAACCAATTCAACCCCATCTGTATTTGTACAAAGAAATGATCTCTGGGATTTCACTGAAAACACAGACCAGACAAACCCATCCCATGTTAGGAGCTGTGGGACCATGGGTTAACACTTTAAGTCTCACATCCCAGGGAACCCCTCCATTCCAGGCAAACTGGGTGGGTGGTTGAGATGGTATAGGCTTGTAGGCCCCTTGCAGCCAAGGTCATTTGAGGACTGCAGTGAGATTGAGGACAACCAGGCAGACCTGGATCAGGAGGGGATAATGTTCTCTTCCCCTTATCTCACGTCGCAAGTTCTGAATGCCTGGATCTGCAGGAAGTGGCTCTTGCTTATATAAGAAGTGTTCTTTCTTAAGAACGTGCTGTTCCCAGAGGAAGGGTGGCCGAGATCGTTCCGTGCTTCGGCAAACATAAACAGGATATATTTTGTTCTTATTATATCTTGCGTGTCTTTCTTCAAGGATGTTGGCGTGATCTTATTATCAGCTAAAAGTACACATTGTCACGTTTATCTGATCGCTGCAAGTATATAACTGTGTGGGAAATAAACGACAGCATGCAGTTGCAAGTGCTGCCTTTGCTCTGCATCCCCTGTGTCCTGGTTCTTTCACAACCCTTACCCAGGGACCCCAACGCACTAGACGTTGACAGGTGGTCATCCTCCCAACCATCTGTGTGCATTTTCTGGTGACCACACTGTCATTAAAGAACTTTTCCAAGATGCTCCCACACATAAGATGCTGGACTGTGAGGTACAAAGGTGTACAAAGATAAAGGGGAACAACAGCAAATGGTTTTCCTCCTCCCTTTCTGGAAATTCTTCAGATGCTGGAGTACAGTTATCTTATTTGTTTGCTATGTGGTTTCTAAAGGTCACTCTGGAAAGGGATATGCAATGGGCAACCCACTGCAAGTTGTGGGTTGTCTTCCACAGGAGCAGCTCCAGAACAGCCCAGCTTGGAAGCAGCACTGGTCTCCCACCAGGGTATGTACATCCTGGTTCTGCAACTTGATGGCTATGAGACCCTGATCAAGTCACCAATCTTTCTGTGCCTTGC